TGGAAAATAAGGAAAAAAAGCTGAGTTAGAGAAAGAGTGGTTCAGATTCAGGTATGTTAGATTTGCTGTAAAAGCGGGTTAAGAAAAGTCAGTAATAGGGTAAAGAATATTGGACTTCATCAGAAAAATCTGAGTACAAGTAAAAGAAAAATAATTGTTAGGATCAGAGGAAAAAAAACTGCAAATTTTTATCTATAGTACAATTTTAATTCTATAAAAAGCACAGAAAAAGACTAAAAAGAAGAATATCAACATGTTAATGCCAGATGCACACAAATGAGCTAAAAAAAGGATAACTTATTTTTCTTTTTTTTTATACTGTTTTCATTATTTAAAATACACACAAACCTGATAAGTTAGTCTCCCCCACTCCATTCCCTCTAATAAAGTAGAAGAAAAAATATGGACTCAAAGCCTTTTTTAAAAACATCATAAACTCTCTGAACCTCAGTTTCCTCATTTATGTAAGGGGAATTTCTTCTCTCCCTAGGTTAATTGAGATAAAGCTTTCTGTAAACTACACATCAATAAGCATAGTTAAGGCATTACAATAGTCTGAGACAGCTAAAACTATAGTACACAGATTTGAAAATATACTGTAGGATGGGAATCTTCACATTGAGGCAAGAGCTGATGGAGTAAATTATTTCCTTACTTTTTTAACGTCCTAGATTTTACTTGTTTTAAAATCAAAACTTTCTTCTCAAATTTCTTATGCACATTGAAATTTTACATGTTACAGAAATGGACTCATATACATGAAATTAATAGAGTACTTTTACCATGTGTTATTCAAACTTAAGCAGAAAAAGATCTAGTAATATTATTCCCTAATATTTGAACTGCTAAATAAATTACTTCATTGTTTTAAAAAGCCAGGCTCTGCAGAGATAAATTTAGCAATCTCCAAATGTTCCCTCAGAAGTTACATGCTTGATACATTAATGGCACAGGATTCTAAATGGTGCTTCCCCCCTTATGCTTAAACATCTCTAGATATCTATTTAAAACCAGATAGTAAGCTCCTACAAGGCAAGAAGCCTGTCATAGATCTGTCCTTCCCAAAAAAAACAACCAAACATAATACTGGTCACAAAATAGGTGTTACTCTACATACATATACTCTAGCTAACTCATGTTATAGATGTTGTACTGACCATGTAAGAGCTACTACTTATATATGTTATGAGTTACTACTAATATATGTCACATTACATGTGTAACTTAAGTCTGTATCTTCAGCCCTATAAGAAAAAACCAAGAAGAAATTAAAAGGTAAAAAAAAAATTCCCAATGTTATTACATGAGAAATACTTTACTGTGACTAAATACATAAAGAATGATTTAGACTATATTAATATGTAAAAATCATAGACTGCATTGTTCCTTTAAGAAAACAAGAGTATATGAAAGAATCATAGTTCTAATACTGTAACGTGAAAGATTTTCTTAAAACTTTTCATAAATTGAAGCACACTGCTACTATTTGTTCACATATCCTGCATCCAGAATGTTGTTTCTTATATATACTAACCCTACAATTTCATTCGTTACAATTTTTCTTTAAAAAATTGTAATCAATTTTTGAGTTTTGTTTTGGGTTTTTTCCTTTAAATCTTTGGAGCAGAAACAGTTAAAACGGATACAGTTAACTGTATGTTGTCTTTAAAGTGTAAACACACTTCCCTCTAGTAAATTCCAAGGTAAAACTCCAAAAATTAAAGCCTTTATTATGGGGGAAAAAAAGGTTAAAAAGGGTAAGCATAAAATGCACCTATCCCCGGCTCTATGAAAATTAATAAAAAAAGTCACGTCAATAGTTTCTCACTTTTGAACATATATCTGAGACTTAAAATAAATACTGTACATACATTTGGTATGTGTGTGTATATGTATATAGTGATTTGGAGACAGGACATCAAGATACGATTGTTTAAGGTACTTGCGCCCCCCACTAAGTTTTTTAAAAATCGTTTCCAAAGTGTTGCCGTTTTTAATTACCATAACTCATAAACTAAAGGATACTAGCCTAAGGGAAATTCCAGAGTACAAGCACCTGCCAGCCAAGTTGCCCGAAATTCATCAGCTGCAGAGATTAAAAGCATCCTTTAGCTGTTTTTACATAAAACGAAAGTTATACAACTGGTATATAATTTCAATGTGGCGCATATAACATAGCCAATCAATTAACATTCCTCTCAGTGATTTCAAAAACCACTACACACAGTTTTAATTGCTATTAGATATTTTATAAAATGCACATAAGAGTGTTTTCCTTACCTGAACACTCAACAATCAAGGGTACAGTTTAAATTTTAAAAGTTTTTCACTTACAAAGTGATTCACATTAAGATTCCCTTAAATATCAGTTTCTCTAGAATCATTGTTTATAAAGCACTAACTTTTCTGCTTATAAAAATATAGTTTCTTCACATTTTTTAAAGAACCGATGTAGCACGTACACTTCCTTCAGAATAAATAAACATTTTCAATACTTGTGACCTTAGAAGAACTTCACATGTTTTGAATTCTTGTTTGGGTAAATGAAAGTTTTTAAACATCTACTAGAACACAAGTGCTTGCCTTTACATTCATGTCTCTCCTGATAAAATAAAGATCAATGTAACACTCGCTCTAGACTAATGAACTGCAGGGAACAGAAACAAGCAATTTGGCAGGAGCTGAGCAAAGCTGTTTAGAGGCTACCAGTAAAATATACCAGCACAACTCCTCCCCCACCCCAACCCTTTAAGGTTTCAATTAAGATGGGGCCTAGTTTTACTCTTACTAGGGGGACAGAAAGAGAAAGCACAGTGCTCCAGCTAAGAAGTATCTTCATCAGGAGCAGTTCCAGAAATATTCCCTCTGCTGACACAGGTTCCTCTCTATAGAGGCCAGCATCACCCCTGTTCCTGATCAACACCATAGCTAAAAAAAGGAAAAGGTGCATCAATGTATCACCCCAAGGATGGCATCAAACGAATAAGAAAACATCCAATATTGGGGTGAGTGCTAACACTCTATGAAACACGGGAGCCCTAACTGAAATTCATCATCTTTCAGTCTCTCTCATAAGTTGCCTAATGAACTTGTAGGAAGGGATAAAGTTATTTAACAAGGTATATCCACAATGTCAAAAATAAACCTTAGTGCCCCAAATGGTGAGAAAGACTTCCGTAAAACACTTACAGAAGAGGACGCTTTGGCAAGACTTCCAGAAGTCCTCAGAACCAACCGCAGAGAAGTAGAACAGCTAATTCTACTATGAGTAGCGAGAGATTCCCCAATTTCTACTGGCTAAGAAGCCAACAGTGCAGAGACAGCTCAGTCTCCCACCCACCCCCAACATCCCTAAAGACACTCAATTTTGGACCTAGTACATGATCACCCATTTGTGACTCTATAAAAACAAGTCTTTCAGTCCAATTTAATTAGCAAATAGAATGGGGCAGGAGCCCCCCCCCCAAAAAAAAGGCAGTGAAAAGTTGATGCCTCTTTAAAAGGAGCCCAAGAATGAAACTACCTCACTATGTAAGGAATTATAAGACATCAAAGGTTAGATAATGGACAACAGGTGCCTTTGGGGAGGAAAGAGTAACACTCAGTTGCCTATTTTAGGATTTCACTCTCAACACACTCTAATGTGTGCCTTTTTTTTTTTCTTTCCAGAGAAAGGGCCAAATTTACAGTTTTTACTAGTTAATACTTAAAATGGGTCCATTTCTCTCGGACTTACTTTTTTCATTTTAGATTAAAAAATCCATCTAATCCCAACATGTCTAAATAAAGTATTGCCCATAGCCAGATCATGTACTGATCGATGAACATGAACCAACTAGGGATTTATTATCAAGAAATGCAAAAGAATGGCATCTAAATACAAGTTACCTCCAAATATAATACTCGAAATACAAATCCAGCAGCAGGTATCACATAACTGCAGCATCAGCCAAAGCAGAAACTGTTTCTCTCACCATCTTAACAATTGAGTTCAATCTATACAGTAACCAGATTTCAGTGGCCTCGAAGAATAGTAATTCCAGACACAGGTTACAGGGCCGTGAGTACCAGCCTCGAGTTCTGATTCCCTTAGCCAGTTACAAAATTTACTACCTTTATTTGGGTGAAAGGGGACACAAAGGATACTTGAGCCTACTTAATAACCTCTCCCTTTCTCCATTCCACAAACACAACATATTCCAAAAATGGAGAATCCTTTCTTTCCCTGACAGAGGCCCCTTTTCCTATGCATTCATTGGGCAGGATTCCTCCTCCCTAGCATGCTTGCAGAGCCAGAAAATACTTCTGCTTTCATTCCTCTTAAAGAGGGTCCCCCAACTCAGATGCACCTCTTCCTTTCCTGTATTAGGCAAATGATGCTTAAGTTTTTCTGGTTCTCTCTACCAGTGTAAAATGTTCAGGGAAGTGAAGGGAAGTTGTCAGTTACCGAGAGGTGCAATAAGTCTCCAAATTTAAAGTGAAGACTGCGTGTCGGGGGTGGGGGGTGCCCCCTTCCTGAGAAGGAACGGGGTCCCTATACTAAAAGGGAGCCTCTGCGTGGGTAAGGGGTGTCCCCACTCTGGGAGTTCGGGTGTGGAAAATGGAAGGAATGTAGTACCCTAAAGAGGGGTCAGAGTTTGAGAAAGGGTGTCCCAACCATGAAGGTGGGTCCGTGAGGGGAGCCATGAGTGTATGGGGAGAGGAGCAGCAGCTACTGGGGCCTCTCGGAGAAAAGGGGTTCCCACTTTCAGGAAAGGAAGGCCAGGCACTGAAAAGGGAGCTGGGAGGAAAGCAGGGTCTTACACTGGAGGGCTGGACAAGGGGGGAGGGGTTCTGAATTCACCGGAGCCTGTAGAGGGGCGGCAGTCTCGAGGGGAACATGTGCAGTGGAACTACTGCCATCCCGAGGGGCAGGGTGGAGAGCAGGGCCTGGGCTGCATGTAGGAGGGACAAGGTTTCTACTGTGCGCGGGAGAAGGAGGATTTCCCTGCCGTACTCACCGAGGCTGCCGGCGAAACCGTCCATCTTGCGGGGAAAGCGCCGGGCTCGGGGCTCAGCGGGGCGGGCACTTCATTCAGCGGACCGACAGAGTGGCCGACGCTGAGCCTGACCCGCTCGCTCCTTAAGTCGCCCGGCTCCGCTCCCAGCCTTCGCCCCCGTGGTTCGCCTGTCCGTCGGTCCGTCCGTCCGCCTCGCGGTAATTCGTTGCGGCAGCCTGGGCCACTTCCCCGTCAGGTTGAGAGCCGCGCCGCTCCGCCGCCTGGCCAACCTCCCTCCCAGGCAGCAGCCGCGAGCGCCGCGCCGCGCCGCGCCGCACCCCGCCCCCGCGCCCGCGCACAGCAATAGCTCCGCCCCCGCGCACGCCGTCACGTTTCCGACTCCGCCTCCCACGTGATGGTACGGAGGCGGGGTCTTGGCGACCCTTCCTTCTCACCTTGCTTCGGCCTGAGATTCCTCCCGTCTCGCGCGGCATTGGTGGCTGCGCTTGCGTGGTGGGCTCACTGAGGCTCTGCGGCTTGGGTCTGGACGCGGTTCCAAATGGGTGGGGTTAAAGGAGGGGCCTCCGGTTTGGGATCCCGCTGAAGGGATTCTCTCTCTTTGCCACCCCTGGGGAATCCAAGTCAGGAGCACCCTCCTCTACCAGGAGATGGTCACCCTCTTTATACTGCTAGGACACTAAAGAGGCAACCGAGTGTGAGAAAGGATCCCTTCTGTCCCAGTTGGATGAAGGGCAAAATAGGGGCAAGTCTTCCTGAGTGGCTCAAGGCCACCACTACTACAACCACAGGACCCAAGACAACCAGAAGCAAAGAATGTTAGTTCTGGACAGGACCCAAGAGTTAAACTTGCTTCCCTTTTAAGTTGGACACTGAGCCTTAGAAAGGACATGACCTGCCCAAGGTCATGGCGCCTGATAGAAGCAAAACAAGAACACAGGCTACTTAACTCCTGCTGGTGTTTTTTCGACAATACCGGGGATATAAAGTGACCCCTTACAGGGCAGACCATAGGATTGCCTACTAGGGAACTCTAACAAAGGGTTGAAATGAAGTAAACCTAAATTCCAGGCCCAACTTCATATGACTCAACAGGTGAATGTCAAGTCACTAAACTTATTTGGGCCTCACTTTATTCATTTGCAAATGTGAGGACTGGACTTATAACCAAAACAGTAAGTATACACAGCCTTTATCTTCCTCCTCCCCCGCTTCCACCCACCCCTATTCTCCATCCTACTAAAGACCTTTCTGTGGTTTCCAAAGTCCCTTCTGAAACTTGGTTGTGTGGATCAGAGTAGTAGAGAGGGGAACTTAAGGTTAGAACTGAGTTAGAAAGGGAAGAATAGGTCACTCTATAGAGAGTTGCAGGAAAGGAACAGAATGAAGAAGGGAGATGAGAAAGAAGAGGTAGCAACTGTCATAACGAGAAGGACTGAGAAGAATTAATTGGTTGAAAAATTGTTAAACATTTTGTTGCTGTCTTGCAATATACTTTTCCCCTTTGTTGCCTCTTTAAAAGCCTTCCCTAAAAATCTAAATTACTTTCCATTTCTTTTTTGGATAGCAGACCTGTGTATTTTCTGAGTACCATATTATGTGGAGCCTGGCCATAAGGCAGCCAAGATAAATTTAGGTTACAGACTAAAAGATAAATTGAGGTTACAGACAAAATGGTGCCTAAAGTTTCCTCCTTCAAAATTAAATTATTTACCCAAAGTTTCCCCTGCTATGGACATTTTCATTCCTCTAGGTTTCTGTTAAGTCTAACCACTTAATGTTTAAGAAGGCCTTGATTCTGACAACTGCTCTTCTGTGTCTGCATGCAGCTCTCTCTGTCAGGTCAATGAAAAGAATAGGAACTTGCATTGATATATTGATATATGTATTATTATTATTATTTTAATCCTTACCCAAGGATATGTTTTTATTGATTTTAGAGAGAGAGAAAGGGAGAGAGAGAGAGAGAAACATCAATGTGAGAGAAACATCAATCAGTTGCCTCCTGTACATGCCCCGACTGGGGACCAAACCCACAGTCTAGGTATGTGCCCTGGTCAGGAATTGAATCCACAACCTTTTGGTGTAAGGGACAATGCTCCAGCCAGCTGAGTCACCTGTCCAGGGCTATATGTATTATTTTTAATTCAGAGAAGGATCTACATTTTGTGGGGAGTGAAGGTCTTACTATTTGTGGGGCCCTCCTGAGAAAAATGAATACAAAAATTACAAATACAAGTTAGGTTAAACGGAAGTTTATTTAGACTGAAAAAAGAAATCACAACAATTTACACATTTTAAGAAGCCTGTAAATACTACAGACATTACAAAATCGAGAGATATAATATTTAATTAACTGCCTAACATATCTCCAATGCTTTTTTCCTACATTTCTTGGTTGCATACTCTGATTATCTCTCAATATGGTGTTTTTTTTTCTTACTAGATATCCTCTGCTGGGATCCTGCTATGTAAACAGGCTTTGTAGCCAAGTGCTTTATACTCCTAACCCCATTTCAATGTCACAGCAAGCCTAGAGATCACTATTATGAATGTAACAGTGATTTTAAAAATACCTTTTTAATAGGATAAAAAGATGTTTTTAGTTTATAACATGGTTAGTCAATGCATCTTTATTATTGATAGCTGGGATGCATAAAAAAATCACTTCATGTGTATAGTACAGGCTGTTTGTAGTATTGCTCCATGAATTCTGACTGATTCTATTTCACATGATTCCCATTTTTAAAAAGAAATAAAACATATAGTGAATTTTAAATTATACATACTGCATTATTAAATATATTCCTGATAGGAGAGAATTTCCATTGTAGTTTGACATCAGTGAGAACCAAAATTTCCTTACCCTTCATTTACAATTAAACATATCTGGTGATTAGAAGAATTTTCCGTAGACGAGCTTCTGGCTCATGTTTCAAACTCTGTGTCTCCCACACTACCCACATACCTAAAGTGCCAGCCTTATGTTCGTATCACATTATAACCTCTAGCCCTGAACCTCCACGGTGGGATGTTAGGGGTCATCACAGTATTCCTGGAATCTGTTGCTAAATGAAGACAGCCAGCAATAACTTAAGTGTAAGTGAGATTACCGTGGAAAGACACCCTTGCCTACAGCCTTGGAAAAGACCCATGGAACTTACTCCATAAAACGTGCCTGTTTTAGTTACTTTTACTTTTACAAAAGTAATCCATACTCATCCTAACTAGTGAAGCCAACCAAAAATATGTATTTTTTAAAGGCAAGGACATTTATGAAATGAAAGCTCAAACAAATGGAGAAATACAGCAGTCATGTGTCCACAGTAATTCCGGAATCCTGCTGGGATAGGTATTATGAAGGGTAAGGAAAGCCCTTCATTTAAATCTCACTGTCCTTACCAAGGATTCCCTTGTCCATTGTACTCCATAGCCCCTGGCTTTGCTATTCTACAAAAGACTGTTGGGGACTATGCTTTCCCTACAGACTGCTCAGCTCACTTCCTACCGGTACAAATGTGAGGTCCAAACCTTACTTTCCAACTCAAATAATGAAAAGATTTGTTTGACAACGTGATCCCTCAAAAACTTGATAGGCCTCTGATTTGTTTACTTCCAGTTAGTAATGTGTGCCAATAACCACATCCGAAGTTCTTTCCTATACATAATTCTCAGGCATGATTTACATCATTGCTTTCCTTCCCCAGTTCCTCTCTTTGTCTCTCTTTCAATCTAATAGGGGCTATCTTCAGGCCAACAGACTTGAATGAGGAGACCACGCTCTTAATCAAATCATTGCTGTAAGTCTGGGTCAAAATGGACCGTACCCAAAGTTTTTAATATTTTATTTTCTATTTGGGAGTCTAGAAATAGTCAGCTTTCTAATCTTTGAGCCCCCAAATTTCTGGACTTTTCTTTAATTATCTTTTATTTCTGCTTGCAAATCAGTCCATTCTTGCTTGAGTTTTTTTCTCTTTCTTATAATGCTTTATTCAAGTTAGCAAACAGTAGCCAACACACACTATTACTCGCTTCCACAAAACTTCCTCTAGACCTATAGGCTTACATATGCAAATAGTGTGCCACCTTCTAAGTTGTCACAAGCAACAGTTGTAGCAAATCTTTTGCCATGACATAACAGTAACTCAACCTCCAATCTGTTTCCACACCATTCCTGTCCCAATGAAGAATTCAAGGTCGCATGTTTTAGTTCTTTTTTTCCTATAACATCATTCAACTTCAAGGTTTCATTTTCTTTCTTAGTCAAGACAGGCTGGCTGCTACTGCAAACAATCTCAGATTTTCAGTTGGTTTAATATAAGAAAGATTTTTCACTCTTATCAGTATCCAAAGCATAATTTCAAGGCATTCATCTCCACGAAGTCATTCAAGGACCCAGGTTTCTTGTATCTTGAACTCCACTTTCTTCAGCCAATGAATAAAAGTAGTGGTTGAAGAACATGGAGGATCAACCAGGAAGCTTTTTTTGTTCTAGGCACAGAAGTGTGTACCTCACTTTTATCCACAGTCCATGGGCCAGAATTTAGTTGCATGACCACGTTTAATGGCAGGTAAGGCTAGGACATGTTTTCTAACTCCATCACTAAAAGGAAAAGAGAAACATTTTGGTGACAATGAGCCAAATAGTAGTTAAAATTTTTCATTTACTTGAATGGTTATTTAATATGTCTTACCCATTCTATTGTACACTACAAGGGGAGTTTTTACAAGATAGGATAGGTAGTAAGTATATCCCAGTGGCTAATACTACACACTCTGGGTTCATACTGCCTAGAGTCAAGTCCCAACTCCCTATTTACTGGTTACTGAACACTGGACAAGGAACCTAATCACTCTGTGCTTGATTTTTTTTCATCTGTAAAATGAAGATGATATCATTTCTATTTCCTAGAGTTACTGAGGGGTTGCAATGTAACACGTAAAGCCTTTAGAACAAGACCCAGTATGTTGTAAGAACAGTATTAGCTGTTGTTGTTATTACAAGTAGGCTTGCATAGTGTCTGCTTTTGCTCACCTTTTTATACCTTGTGGCCATTACAGAGTAGCTGTTCAGTAAATATTTACTGAATATTTAACATACATAGAATTCTGAGAACTAGTCAATTTGAATACTCGTTTATTTCAACGAGTGCCCAATTGTTTTAAAGCAGTCAGTATTAATTTTTCCGCTTTGTATCTATAAAATTAGATCTTATAAACTGTTTAATAATACCATAATAAAATGAAAGATTTAATATAAATCCCTCAAAATGAAAATATATCTGTATGTGATCATCAAACACTTAAAAATC